TATTATATATGTTCTCTTCTCGCATCAGAAATTGAACCTGCTGCTACTTCTAATAATTTGCTTTGCTCGGCCCCAAGTTGGTTATCAGTGTCCAACTTTACCCATTTCTTCGGTTAATCCTGCATGTAAGTACACTATCTATCCATATCTTCAAGATTCTGTTTATTTTTTCTTTGATATATATCTCAGTGTTTCTTCATTCTTTTCAGATTCTCATTTGAATTGATTCTTTATTTGAGGTCTCTCTCCTTTTTTTTTTTCATTGTCACTGATCACTTCAAGTAAATTAAAATAGAAGTATTTGTCTCCTAACTACCGATCATATATTTATATCATTTTTCTTTCAAGAAATATCCATCAACACCTTATAAGAAAAAATAGGCTTGCGATTTCAATCAGTAGACCTACTGTATGCTACTTTCTAATTTCCTGGGTCTAATTTGTTTCTCAATGTCTAATTTCTTTAATACCTTCTTCTAGACCTGCAGGAACACAATTCCTTCTATTATGTTTTTTTTATGAAGTATAACATGAAAAAGTATATACAAAATACATAAAAGTATAGACAAAATATACATAAGTAGAGACATAGAGAAAGATTTAAATTAAGCTATAAAGCCTCAGTCAAACAGTTGAAAATTAAATAAGTTAGAGTTCTCACGTCACTTATTTAAAAAAAGACCAAAAAAAAAGAATTAACCAAAGAAAGACCAAAAAAAATTCCCTGGAAGACATGCCCTAAAAATTAATAAAGTCTATTATTCTTTTTTCAGAGGATATCATTGAACTCGTAATTTTAGTAGACTTAAGAACACTTAAAGAATAGAAATACATTTCGAGTCACCTACAAAATTGGTTGGCCACTTATTAATTTTTTATCTAAAGAAAATTCATTCTTCGCCCAAAAGCAACAGAACCATACTGGTCAATTATAATTTAAGTAGATTTTGGATTTTTTACAGTAAAGGATTTTTTAGTCAATTATAATTTTATAGTAAAATTATAATTAATTTTGATTAAAAAATTGAAATTTTAATTTTAAATAATGTTATTTTATTTAATTAAAATTTATTAAAATTTTAAAATGTTACTTTATTTAACTTTGGATTATTAAAACATTTTTAAATTAATTTTTATATATTTTAAATTAATTTTTTTATATAATTTTAAGAAGATACTCCTCACATTAATTTAATATGTTTAAATAAATAAATTTATTTACTTATTAACTTTACAACTTAAATAATAAATCTCATCTTAAATAGAACACTTAACCAGTAAATTCAAACCCTGTGGAGTTTAGAATTAATTAAGACTTAGTGGAAGACAATCTTACGTTCACATACTTGCAAATCATCTTAGAGAAAAGATGTGCTCCTGCCTCTCTCTTCTAATTGGCCTCAACTTGCTTTAATTAAAATATTGTAATTCCCATACACTAACTGTACCTTTTTGGATCACTCTGCATATGTATCCATTTCGCTGCCACATCGCCGAGCATCTTCCAGGAAATATACAATTACTAATCACTTCTTTAAGTTTGCTCTTCTCCTTTGCTCGCTCACCTTTTCTTATAATCAGACACTGTTTGGCTTGCAATTGGGTTCGTAGATCTGTTGCTGTTTCTAATTTGTTTGAACTAACTAATTCGATTATCAGTGTCCATTTTCTTTAATTTTTCTATTGAATTTTTTGGTATATTCTCTATTTAGATCTTTGATCTTAATTCTATGTGCTTATGTTATCTTTAAAGTATATATATTAAATGAAAAAGTTATTATTATTATTTTTGCTAGAGCTTGACTTTATTCAAAATCCCCAGTATCTCCTCATTTTGAAATTGATTTTTAGTAATTGTTAGCTTCTTTATCTTTAAATGTGCTTTTACCTAATTAATTTGTAGCTACTTAACAAATTCCATGAATTATTCTTTTGGGTACTTCAACTAAATATACATATGACTGATTAACTGCAAGTGATCATATTTGAAATTTTTTCTCTTTTAGGACAACAGCGGCTATGGCTCCAAAGAATTGAGCTTGTAACTAGATCTGCTGCTACTTGTATTTTGCTTGGTTTAATTTGGTCATCATCATCAATTTCTTCAGTTTCATCTATTAAACTAGCAGGTATAACATCTAGATTTTCTATATTATTTTTCTTTTTTGATATTCCTCCATATTGATTCTCTTAAGTCGTCCTTAATTATATAAAATGAAAAAGTAGATATAATAATGTACCAAAAGACACAAACCATTTTAGCATATCAACCAATAGTTACTATCCACTACTCTTTTAGAATAACCCTGGCTTGATTGGTATAATAGTTAGTTGTTTTATTTAAATTGTTATAGGATAGATGTTTAGTAAAATTATTTCTTTTTAAACCGCTATACAATAAATATTTGATAAAAATTTTATTTAATGATTTAGAATTAACAAATAGTAATTAGGGTTAATTCACTGGTGAATTGCACCAAATTGCTAGAGAATAAATATTCTTTTATTTTATCAACAAAATTAACCATTGAAATTTAAATATATCAAACCCTTAATATGAAAATAAAAGAGTGTTTCAAATTGATCTGCACAATAAAAAAGTGTAGTATCACCCAAGAAGGTACTAAAATATTCTTATTCAAACTCTTCTTTATATTATTTTATTAATATAATTTTAATAATCTCAAGTTTGGAAAATATAAATCTCATAGAAAAATTCAAGGTAGGAAAAAAAAAAAAAACCTAAAAACTGGTGTCATGTTGAAGAGGAAGTGAAAAATTATGATATCCTGATATTAAAAATATTTGGATATTTAATCAAAATTACTTAATAAATAAAATATAAGTAGCTCTTAGTAAAGTTCATTTATCATATAATTGATATTAAATATTCTTATATTTTAGATGGTAAGACCTTTTTCCTTTTTCCGTTTCCATCAATTAAAATAATGCACTGTTTTGTACATTGTCATCATCGATGGATCCATATTCCAAATTTTCATTGAAAAATTATTAACTTTTTTATATTTTTTATAATTTTATATGCTATTTAATAATTAGTTACTTTTATTTTATTAAAATTTATAATATTATATACATTATTTATTTAATAATATATAAAAGTTATAAAAAAAATATTGTTACCCATTTTTATTTACATTAGGTTAAATATCAATTTTAATCTCTTAATTTTAGAATTTTACATAATTTTTGTCTCTTTAACTTTTTATGTATTTTTTTAAACCTTTAATTATAAAAAATATACTTTTTTAGTTTTTCTATCAATTAGTCCATTAAATTTATTTAAATATACATATTTTTAATTTCTTAACTTATAATATATGCATAATTTTTATCTCTTAATTTAAAAGTTCGGGATTGAAAATTTATATATTTGGATAAATTTAATAGATTAATTATCAAAAAGACTAAAAAAATATATTTGTCATAATTGAGAAATTAAAAAAGTGCATAAAAAAAGTTAAAAAATAAAAATTATGTAAAACTTTAAAGTTGAGGGATAAAAATTGACATTTGACCTTTACATTTTCTCTTAAAATAAACTAAAATGTATTGTAGAGTTTGTTGAAATGAAAAGTGTATCAATAAAATGTGACTGAAGTGTATATCATGACATTAAAAAAATTTTATTCATATTTTAATTGAGACATTAATTAATATACCTTTTAGTTAAACCTACTTTACAATATAATTATTAAAAAATTATTATTTTTGAATTTGAATTAAAAGTAAAAAAACTTAAAATTGTAAATTTTAATACTTAAATAGTTGGTGTTAATGCATGTATTAAATTGGATAGTGTATTAGTCACCTTCCTTCTAACTAATATTTAAAAGAATTAAATGTTGCATTGAAAGTTTAGATTACACATTTTAATTTTTATATTGATTTAACATTTATAATTTTTTAATAAAAAATATTATTACTTGCGTATATTTAACAGTTATATTTAACAATCTTAAATCTTATATAATTAATAAACTAATTATATATACGAAATTAATATAAATATTAATATACATAATTTATATAAATGAAACTTTTAATCTAACTATTACTTTTTAAAAATATTAATAAAAAGTAAATTTTTAATTAAATCTTTCAAAAAAAAAAAAGAATCAACCTACAAAATATTTTTACTAAAAAAAGGTAAATAGTTAGTTGCCAGAAGCATTTACCTTAAAGTATTAAGAGTGGGTCCCACTTGACACATAAGTAACTGTAATTAAGTTATTCATTACTGTTTAGTTTAATAAAATCTATGTTCATACAAAAATAAAATAAAATAAAATCCATGCTTAAAACAAATAACTCTAATTAAATTAAAAAACTGTTTAACCCTCACCAGTTAAAGAGATCTTTTTATTGTTATTTTTATAAGAGAATATAAAAATTTATATTAATTTTAATATCATTATTACATAAATTAATTTAATTAAAGTGATTTATAAATTAAAAATTAATACTTTTTAATATAAATGTATAAAAAAAACATAAATTTATTACTTTGACATTAACATGTGTCCAAAATAGAAAACATAGAGAATCTGAAACTGTTCTTCAAAACATCTTCTTTGCCGGCACCGACAGATTCTGAGTTTTTCGGCACCGGTTGACTCTGGGTACTTAATTCAACTGCAAATTAACATTAATAATAGGGAGTTCATGGGATATTTTGACTGAAAGAAACAAGAAATTAATTGATGACAAATCTCTACTGCAAACCCTAACTTCAATCAAAACCCAATGTCGCTACCGACTCCGCCTAACAAAATGTGACCAATTCCACTCTTCTTCGAGATGATGGCTAGCAAACCCAGTATCCAACTTGAGTTTTGGTTTGCTTAGATGTTAGATATGGTTCAAGATGTATGATGCCATTTTTTTTTTATTGCAACCAATCTCATACTAATAACATAGAAAAGTAACTTTTTTGAGGGTTAATAACTTCAAAGAAATCAATTTTTATGAGGAAACTAACATAATTATCCCTTCCCTAACTGACTTTAGAATAAGAACGGAAAAAATGTCCAATCTCAAAGAACCATATGCCCTCTACATATTCTGAGCAACCAAACACAACATTTTCCACTCAAATCTTTTGTTTGGTTTCGCCGTGTAAATGAAAATCTAAAAAATGTGAAAGGTTTTGATTTTTCCTTTCATTGTTAACCAAACCCAAAATTCATCTCCACTCATAACTCACCCAAGAGTTTGGAATGAAAGGGGCAGTAGAGAGGAGCAATAGGAGAGGAAGAAGAGGCTAATATGGTCTTTTCATCATTTGTGTCTAATTTTTCCATAAAAGCAATTTTTCAATATATCCAAATAAGTCCCCATTTTTCATGGCAGTACTTTTATCCAAATTAAATATAATTTTTACATATCTTCTCATGTCAGCATATCAATTTAAATTTATATCTGACTAAATAGAGATACAATACCAAGTAAGCATTTAATCAAAAAGAGTCAGAAAATTAATTTTAAAGGACTAACGGAGGAAATTTTTCTAGTTGAGAGACTAAAAAAAAAAGGCTCGGTACAATAATTGAGAAACTAAAATGGAATTGACCAAAAAATAAAGATTAAAAAAGAGTTTTAACCTTTTCTTAGTGATGATATTTAAATCACTCATATTTTTCTTGCAGAAAATATCCATCAACTTCAACTCCTCATCTGGAAGAACTAGGGTTGCAGATTTGCTCCTACCTTTTATTTGCTTTGGCACATCTAAATTGGTTATTATAAGTGTCCAAAATACTTCAACTCCTTCCTTAAGGTAATAATTGCTTATTTGTGTTATATATTGGTTGAGTTGATATTTATTAATTTAAAATTTTTAATTGAAAATTAAATTAAAAAATTTAAATCTATGTAATATTAAGTAATTAGTCTTTCAATATATATGTATATATAGAAAATCTCTTTGAGGTATAAAATGAAATAAAAAATATACTAGTGAACTTATAGAGATATACAAATCATTAGCTTATTATTATGTTTACAATCCACTCAAGTCAGACTGTCGAAAAAATGCTAATGAGAGTAATAATTAATAGAAAAGGCCAAAAAAAAAAAAGCAAATGAAATAATTAATAAATTATTGATTGATGTTAGTTTTTTCCATTTGTTAGTATGGAAAACAACTTTTAACCTCTTTTGGTTGTAATTGGTAACTTAAATTTCAATTAATTGCTTGGTAGAAATTTGAATTGGAATTGAAAACTAGGGCCAAAAATGGTGGCAAAATGAAAATAAAAACATCCTTTGAAGCCAATGAAGATAATTAAAATTTGAGGAGTGCTAGGGGCACTCGCCTCTTGCACTCTCCGGCCAACACTTCCCCTTTCATTGGGCCACGTAAGCTCGTTTCAGGATTTGAAGTGAACCTCTTTAAAACCGGAGTAACGTGGCCCAATAAAAGTGAAAGTGTTGGCCGGAGAGTGCAGGAGGCGAGTGCCCCTAGCACTCCTCTTAAAATTTTTTTTACATATGGTAATTGCTCCATCTCCTTTCTTGATGTAAACTTTTAAGAAAATAATTTTGAGATAATTTCTTATATTATTTTTTTTATATAATTTGATGTGTCATTTTAATGATTAATTTTTTTAATTTATGTAAAATTTATAATATTAAATGTATTAATTTATTTAATAATATATAATACTTATATAAAAATATGATATAAAAAAATTATCCTAAAACACCACGCAAAATTTTAATATCGTTTGCTTGGAAATTGACTCGAAATTGGTAATTTATTAAATCTAAAATTTTTATGAATTTATGCCCCAGATTTTCTTTTGATGAACACCTGAAGAAGCGCATGTTGATCTCTATTATTTATTACATTTTTAGCACCATTTCTTAATGGCGGATCTTGTGGGGGCACTCCTTGAAATTGTAAAATGCATTGCCACTCCAACCTGCAACTATGTAGATAATTACAAGAATTTTGATGATGATGTGAATGAGTTGAGAGGCAAACTGGGAGATCTAAATAGACGAAAACAAGATATAGAATCAAGAATTCAAGCAGAGGCTCGTGCGGGCCAAATGGTGAAAGAAGAAGTGCTAGGCTGGATTAAACATGTACAAACCATCAATGAAGACGTGCAAACTATTTTAGAGAAGGCGCAGAGTGTTAAATGGTGCAGAAAAGCTTGTCTTGGAAAACATGTGCGTAGAAAAATTGATGTGGTAAAAGCAATCCATGAACAAGGTAGTATTTTTGAAGCTCTTGTAATTGCAAAAGCTCCAGCCCAAGGAATCATAATTCCAACAGAGAATTTAGAGGGTGAAAAATCTGTTAAAGAAAAACTTTGGGAGTATTTGATGGGTGATGAGGTTGGAATGATTGGAGTTTGTGGAATTGGTGGAGTCGGTAAGACTACAATCATGAAGCATGTTAACAATGATTTGTTGAAAGGGAACATGTTTCAGAAAGTGATTTGGGTTACTGTATCATACCCTCTCAATGTGTTTGCATTACAAAAGAATATTGCTCTTGCTATGGGTGAAACACTTAGAAACGATGAGGAAGAGATGAGGCGGGCAGCAAAACTAATGGATATAATGAGAAAAGGAAGTTTTGTACTGATATTAGATGATGTATGGGAAAAATTTTCTCTAAAGGATGTTGGAATCCTGGAACCAACAGAGCAGAATGGATGCAAAGTAGTTATCACAAGTAGATCAATTGAAGTGTGCAATTATTTGGGTTGTAAGATTGTTAAAGTGCAACCTCTTTCACCACAAGAGTCTCTAAACCTTTTCCTCAATAAGGTTGGAGGTGATGTTTTAGAAGTTCCAGGGTTGGAAGAAATCTTGAAATCTATTGTGGAGGAGTGTGACGGTTTACCACTGGCGATTGTTGTGATAGCGGGGAGTATGAGGGGAGAATATAATATTATAGAGTGGAGAAATTCCCTAAATGAATTACGCCAATGTGTAAAAAGTGTGAAAGGTGTGGAGGATGAGATATTTGTAAGGTTAAGATTCAGTTATGACCGTCTAAGAAGTTTGGAAATCCAAAAATGTTTTCTCTATTGTTCCTTGTTCCAAGAAGATTATGAGTTTTCTAGAAAGGAGTTGATAGAAGGTTGGATCGATGAAAGACTAATTGATGAGTTGGGAAATAAACAAGCAGCTTATGATAGGGGCCATGCTTTTTTAAATAGGCTTGAAAAGACTTGCTTGTTAGAGGCATGTGTTGGAAGTGATGGAGTTAAGATGCACGATGTAGTGAGAGACATGGCTATCAAAAGCATTGGTCCTGGAGTTGGATATATGGTCAAAGCTGGTTTGAAATTGACAAAGGTGCCAAATGAGCATGAGTGGGCAATTGATCTTAACAAGGTGTCTCTAATGGCCAATTACATTTCAAAAATTCCTGTTGGTTTAACTCCAAAGTGTCCGTTGCTGTCAACTTTGATATTGTCATGCAATCCTAAGTTGTCAGAGATTCCAAGTTCCTTTTTTGAAGATATGGTCGGACTTAAGGTTCTTGATCTTTCTGGTACTGATATTGAAGCTTTACCTGATTCTATCTCTAACTTGGTGAATCTCTCTGCACTGCGGTTGAGGAGGTGCAAGTGTTTAAAGCACTTGCCTTCCTTAGCAAAGCTCAGGGCATTGAAGAAGTTGGATCTGCATGAAGCAGGGATTGAGGTGGTCCCTCAAGGCATGGAGATGTTGGCAAGTCTTGAATATCTTGATTTATTTTGTCAAAATCTGAAAGAGATTCCAATGGGAATATTACCTCAACTTTCCAGTCTCCAGTACCTGGTTGTATATCCAAGCAGCGGAATTACCAAAAGGATAAATTTAGAAGAGGTTGCTAGATTGAGCAAGTTGGAGAGTTTGGAATGTGGAATGGAGGGCATACAAGACTTCAACTATCTTGTCAATAAATCTAAAGATTTTGAAAGTCTTACGGCTTATGATCTTCGATTGACAACAGGTAAACGAGACATCAGAAATTTTGAATATGCTGATGAATATCTTAAGGTTTTAATTGTTGAGTGTGAGATTGGAGAAGAATGTATAGTGCTTCCAGATAAGCTTGAGGTTTTGAGGATCTGTAACATTAAAAACATCAAAAACATGAGATGCAGCTTAAACAAAACAGTTTTGTTAGAAAATGCAACTGAGTTGAGAAGGTGTTTTATTGAGCATTTTGAAGGCATGGAGTGCATGGTTGAGTTGGACTCATCCTCCTCCTCATTGTGTTGTCCAGTACTGGATAAGCTTGAACAGTTGACTCTTGGGAGCTTGCCTAACTTGAGTGTACTTGTGAGAGTTGAAGGAGTAGCAACACCATCGCACATCTTTTCCAATCTTAAAATTTTTTCAATAAGCAATTGTTCAGAAATGAGGAAGTTGTTTCCACTTGAGCTACTGCTTCTCCTCCAAAACTTAGAGAAGATTCATGTTCATTGCTGCAAACAAATGGAGGAGATAATAGCCTCATCAGATTCAGATGATACATCATCAGATAAATTCACTTTTCCCAAGTTAATGGAATTGAAATTGTTATGGTTACCCCAATTGAAGAGCATCTGCAGTGCCAAAGGAGTTATGATTTGTGATTCTATTATTCAAATAGTTGAATGTCCGAAGTTAGAGAGGATCCCACAGAAATCAAGATAGATGAAGAGTCAAAAGAATGGTGGAAATCAGTGGTTGGATCATCCTAACTCTAAGAACATACTCCAACCTTTCTTGAAATTTGGTCTATGGGGGGTAAGGGGTTGATTGATTTATTCTAATTTGAATTTGATATGTTTGTAGCTTAAAATTTCTGTCATCTCCTCCGAAAAGGGAGTTGTTGACAAATCTTCAATTTTTCAGACATACGTAAACAAGTCATGTGCGAGCCCAATAACACGTGCCAATAAAACCCCTTCTTCTGGAACTCCACAATGGGAACAATGCAAAAAGTGCGTCTGACATGGAGTAGCCTATATGGAAGAGATGAGATTGAGATTGAGATGCATCCACACTTCATCCTCTGCTCTATCGTGTTATCTCATAAACTCCAACTATGTAAGTATCCATATTTTGACTTTGATCATTTTTATTTTCGGGTTTTATACTTTCATTCCATTTATAGAGAAATTTGGTTTTTGGGTTTGGGTGGTAACAAAATCATGGGTGATAAGATTGGCTAATGTCTGTGGTTGGAACATTGATATTTCTTTTGTCATTTGATTTTTTTGGGTTTGGGTATGTATGGCTCGTTGAAATTGGTTTTTGGGTCTGGGTAGTAATAAACCGTGGTTGATAAGATTGGCTAATGTTTGCGGTTGGAATGTCAATATTTCTTTTTTCATTCTTTTTTATTTATTTTGGGTATATTGAGATTTCTCAACTTCTTGCAAACCAGATTGGCAGTATGGAATCAAATCCTATAAGATCACTTCCTTGAATATCTCTTGTTGGCTCCAGATTTTTCAACATAATTTAAAGCTCCGCTATTTGTTTGTAGGATCTTTTCTCAAGCAAAGGCAACTTCTCTCATCAGAACAACAAAGCAAAAGAAAACAGCACTCACCCATTGCCAGCACTCTTTGATTTCATTGACAATAATTTTAGATTTTTTTTTACTTTTTACCAATTTATGTCTTTTTTTAATTGTATTGGATGAACTTGGCTTTGTTTCTTTTGGTAATTTGTTTGTGTTGTAGGTTGTTAGGCATGATATGTTATGGGATTTCTACTCTTGTTTCTTTGGTGCATGTTTGCTTTATATAGTGAATCTGTTATCAATTTGAAATCTTACATTTTTGTAATATGTACCTTTCATGTTTGATATACTGTCATAATTACAAATTCTCTTTGCTTCGCTAACTTGACCACTGGAGAACATTTGGACAGTGCTCTACTGACTTCTTCCACTCTTTCCTGGTTATTTTTTCCAACCTAAACAATCATCTTTTATTTTCATTTCATTTTGTTTTCTATCATTTGCAATCCTTGATTGTTTTAGTTGCTGAACAAGAAACAATTTCTGTAGATCGAAGTGGACAACAAAGGGAGTACCTGTCTAGGAGTCACGGTAGCTAAAATGAACTCAACTCTCATAAACCCCAAGCAGTAAGTTTTTTGACTAAGAATTTTATTTAATTTTCATTAGGGCTTTATACTTTTTTTCATTATAGATAAATTGATTTTTGGGTATGTATGGCTGAAATTGAGCCCTTTTGAAATGCAGATTTCAGCACAATCAGTAGGCAATTGGCAGGAAGAGATCCAGTCTCTGGTCTCTGATAAACTCCAAGTAGTAAGTGTCAATTTTTCTGTTTTGATTTCCTATCCTTGCCTGTACTTTGACCCTTCAAAATTAATATTATTCACTTACAATAGTAATATAATATGCTTTTCAGGTTCTTAAACTAGAAGGTTCATAAAAGATAAAGTTTCTGATGACAGTATCATTTTCAGGTTTCCTACAAGTGGCAGAGTTGTAACCTTTTGGTGTCATGAAATGTTTCAAAGAGGTGATCATCTTTCCTCCCCAAGAATTTAGTTAAAGTTCACATTCACAAGCCGCAAGAATGGAGACACAAACTCATGATTGTTGATGAATTCTTTTGCTACCATAAATGGAATTTTTTGAATTCTATAGCAATGCAGTAATGTGATAATTTCTTCTCTGAATTTCTTGCAGAAGCTAAGCAAGAATTTGATGGCAATAGCTCGGTTCAGGTGTACAGTGTTCAAGGATGCATTGCAAAGTTTTTTTGATCAACAGATGCACTGCAAAGTATTGTGAGCTGTGCGCTCTGGAATGCTGAATTTTTCCAAGCTTCAAGAGCCTTCCTAGAATAGCAACCTTCAAATATTGAAAATTCTTTAAGAGATAACAGGTAGGCTTTTTCTGGTTATTTTAGTTTAGATTTTTTTGAGAATTTGGTAGTTGATTCTGCCTCTAGCTATCTTCTAGCAGAACATTTTCCTTTTGCAGATCACAACTTCCTTTCAAGTTGTTTGCCTCTTGAAGTGCTTATCTTCTCATATATTGTTATTTGCTAATAAAGAAAATTCTCTGGTGGTGTTATGAAATGCGTTTAATGGACATTCCTTAAATAATTATTTAGCTCTTTTGGAGGCGTAGGTTCATTAGCAAACTTATGTGATTGTGCTTCTGCAAAGTTGAAGTCCAATTAAGCACCAACTGATGGTCTTAATTTTAATAAAGATTCTAAAGGTGAAGCCAACAGGAAAAGGATGGTGGTTTTGGATTCGGTGGGTGAAGACAACTATGAAGATGCCATCAATTTAGCATCATCCTATCCCGCCAAACAGCTACCATGGATTGATCCAAAAGTCGTCAGCAAAGTCAGAAACAGTGAAAAGTCCTCTACAACTAAGAATGAAAATCTGCTTTCTGAAACTGGTATGAATAAATTACCTATATTAGAACAAACAGCATTAGTAACTCAACTTCAAACAGATGTTAATTTCTGCTTCTTAGTTTTTTTTTTTTTTTGACAGAGGGAATGGTTGTTAGATTAGTAGGTTAGTATCTGCTCTGAGAGGAATTGAACCTGGGATCAAGAGTGCATTCCATCGGCTGCCCTTTTGGGCAGCAGTGGCCAACATTGGGCCACAACAGGGGAATGCAATTTCTGCTTCTTAGTTGAATGAACTGCATTCAATGGGGCTTTACAACTATGGAGTGCTTTTAACATTCTTTTTTGCCTTTTTCTAGCTAGTGTACATGATTGAAGGCTCTGCAATTTTATTTATTTCATTATGCTTATTTTAGATTGTAAGCAATCTAAAGCCTAACAACCACATTCCTTACAGTTTCATCTTTCAATGCAAGCCTCCTGCAGTAGGAAGCGCTACTCCTTATCTGGGAAGCAAAGTAGGAGACCACAAGAAAGCAGGGAAAGTAAAGGATTCCAAGCAAGGCAATATCTCATCATTCTTTAAGAGAGTTAATTTGGGCAGAATTAAGTTTCTACTTCTTCTTCCTAGCCATCCCTCTTCATTGGATCTCATTCTTTCTCTTGGTTGGACATTGTATTAAATCTAATTCTACTTCATCTACAATGGGAGGTCTGATTCACTATCTTGTGTGGTCTGGAGGTGACAACCTGATTCACGCCAACTAGCAAGGTAACGTATTTTTTATATTATGTGTGCTATACAAAAGGACATAATTCCCAGTCATCTTTGTTGTTTAAATCGGGGTCCCTTTTTCTAAAGGTTGTAAAGGGTGCATTTGGTTTCATATGGTTTCAAGGCACTTGAAATGTCATTTTTGTGTCATAGTTCTGATCCACTAGACTGAAGCTGGTGGGTATCTTGACGAGCAAAAGATTGATGTTCATAGATTCAGTGCAGAGAACCAATTTGAGGCAATGTCTTGTTTGGTACAATCCATGATTCCTGAGGAGAAGGATAATCCTTTCATTTAATTACTCCCAAAACAATCTTCAATGCTGAGGGACCATAAATTTTCTGCCTATCATGCTTTCCTATGTTACTCAAATTCTTCATTTATTCCTAATAAATTTACATTTAACATTTAAAGTATCTGTGTTAGACACTTGATCACAGCATTCTGAGCTTTTGAAATGTGTTTTAGGAGTATAATGCATCAACTGAGTATTACTGGGAGCCCTTCATTGTAGAGTCTAATTCAAACCATGCAAAAAATCATATTGTCCTGAGGCAGCTGGTAAACCTTGATGCCAAAGCCAAAAATGGCAAGAGCTAAGAAGGAGTTGATGTGAGGATGTTTGAGAGCTATGTCAGCCTAAGATTAAAGCTAGGTAAGTATCCGGTCTTCCTTCTATGGCTTCTGATTCCATCCAAATTCTTTTTTCTTTTTTTTTTAAAGCAGAGATTGTTCTGATTTTTGTGCTGCTAGAGCAAGTTTTTAATTTGAGCATGCATTCTGGAATCCGACAGATTGTTCTGACTTTCTTCCCAGGTTTTGGGTTTCTTGGTTTTCAGATATGGAAACCTGGCAAATTAGTTAAGAATCCAACATCAATCTTCCAGTTCAAAGGGTCTTCTTCATGACTATGTCCCCAGCAGATCTGCGGTATGTTTCACTTGCTGTTTTCTATTAAGAAACAAACATCCCAAATCATGAAATTAAGAAGATGATGATTATAGCTACATCTTTCATGAGCTGGGAATGGAAGCCAGGCAACCATGAGAACTGCTTCAGTGAGACATATCCAATTTAAGAAGCATCATGTACTGGGGAGCTGGATCTAGTCTGGTCATCAAGAAGAGTGGTTCATGACATTTTACAATAACTAAAGATCAATGTTCAGGATTAGAATATAAAAAGGATCCTTGAATACATTGCTGAATATAGATGCATTGGGGAGGAAGGACACCAGATTAGAGACAAGGAATGTGCAACCTATGATATTATGGCAACCTCCTCAAGGAGATTCCATTAAGATCAATTTTGATGCAGCAATATGACAAGGGCAAAGCATAGCCGGGTTTGGAGTTGTCCTAAGTAACTGTGACAACAAAGTTATAGGAGCTATGCAAAGAACTTGTAGGTTTCAAGGATCAGTTCTTCAAGCTGAGGTTTTGGCTCTTGATTTTGCATTGGGGATGGACAGAGAATATGGACACAGTATTGTCATCATTGAATCAAATTGCGTTCAAGCCATGCAAGTAGCTATGTCAAACAATGATTGTTATCTTCCTTTTGGAGCAATTGTGGAGGAACTTCAAGCCAAGAAATTCCATTTTGTTTCTCTCTGTTACCAGCATCTAAAGCATGGTGTAACTGGGAAGCACAAAAGTTGGCTCAGCTACAATCCCCTCTCCACCATGGGCGGGTGTTTGCAAATAAGGAATGTAAAATCAAGATATTTGATAGAATCATATAAAAAAAAATGAGTAATTTTCATCCTATTCTTTTCACAGAGAGGGAATTGATATGTTTGGCAGAGGTAACCATGTAAGAGAAAAGTGCAAACCAAAAATGCCATGAACAAGTTGCAATGTTTTTACCATTTAGGAAAGGGTTCTTGCAATAGACACATCACCCACCATGCTTATTTATGGTACAACAATTTTGCCTGCACAAGCATGAGGCCTGGGGTTGAAAGTTAAATCCAGTTACGCTGAGCAGCAACCCTTTCTATAATTACAACCCCTGCAAAACTATTAGGGAAAGTTATCACATTGTCATTAATTTGATTGAAAGTTATCCCTCTCAAATTCCCTCTGCGGGCTCTCCTCTCTCTTCCAAAAGCTCTTGATTCTTCTCCTTTTCTCTCGATTGTAATCTTTTTCCTTCTCTCTGTTCCAGTATTCATGGGGCTAGGGGACTCTTTCTGAACCCAGCCTCCTCTCTCCTTTCGAATCTTCTCACATTTTCTCCATTTTCCCTCTCAATCCATGCCCTGGTTTTCAGATCTGGTCCCTTGGGTCGGTTCTCTCTCACTCTATCTCCAAATCTGGGTTTGGTACCCACGAGTGCTTTTCGGTTTCTCTAGCTTCTTGGCCTCAACTATGATAGTGGCTGCCATGGAAGCCAATGCCAATGCCAATGCCAGACCCATTTCAATGCCCTTCAACGACCGGAACGAATTGCTTGTCCAGCTCTGTTTCGCTTCAACAATTAACACAAATTTCTCATGGGTTATTACTTCGTAGAGATTTTTCACGACTCTATTCGAGAAGAAGAAGAAAGTATGGAAGAGAAACGCTGGGGCAGAGATGGGGGATCGAAGACGAGGAATTGAGAGGGTTGTGCGAAGGTAATTATGTAATTTTATATACTATTTTGGAGTAGAGGACGGCATTTCTCGATGATGACTGCGCATCCTCATCCACAATTGAGTGGTTGCTAATTGCCACGCATCTTCGTTCCTGGAAATATCCTCTTGACTTTCGCATTAACTTGCCTCCTGCTTCAAGTTCTTTCTTCTCCATAATTGGCTCCATCAACTTCTCTCCTCGGAATCAGAAAGAATCCGTCTTGCAATTGATACTTCCAATTGAATCAGCTTTGTCATCACTGTCCAACTTCCTTTCTGCTAGCTGCAGGTACACTCTCTTGCCATTTGGATCTTCAATCTCGATTTTGTTATATATATGTTCTCTTTAGACTATGAATAAACAAATTGAACCCGCTGCTACTTCTAGTAATTTGTTTTGCTTGGTCTAAGTTAGTTATCAGTGTCCACCTTTTTCTAAACCTGTAGGTATACACTATCCATTTAGATCTTCATTAATCTTTGATTCTGTTTATGTTTTCTTTGATAATTTGCTTGACCTAGCTAATTTGGTTAATTAATGTCCAACTTAATTTCTTCAATTTTATCTTCTAAGACTAAAGGAGAAGGTACACCATGTTATCTTGCTATTTATATCTTTAATCTTGATTTCATTGTGTTCTGTTTAAAATATTGATCATAAAATGAAATATCAAAACTCTCTTGCTGTATGCTATCTTCTAATTTCATGGGCTTAATTTCTTTCTCTGTGTCTAATTTCTTCGATATCTTCATTTAGGCTTGCAGGTATGCAATTCTTTTTATTATACTCTCTTTGAAGTATAAAATGTAAAATTATACATATTTTTACATTAAAAAATAAAAAAAAATTTCTTAGGTGTGTAGTCCAGTGCCCGAGATTTCCATTGGATGTTTTTGAAATTATTAATTACTTTGAAAAACTTTGACCTACTCTAAATCAAATTTAATTCAAATATTTTTTAATTAAAATTTTATTAAAATAACGAATACTTTAGATATATTTTTATTAATTTGCTTCTTTTATATTCTTATATTTAATTTTTTTAAGTAAATTGTTAGATTCTTTATTGTCTTATTGTTTGATTTTATGTAATTATTTTGTCGCTATTTAATTGATAATCTTGTGAGGTTTTCTTTCTTTTAGACAATTCGCGTAAATTAATATAGAGATTTATGTCTTTTAGTGATCATATTTAAATCACATTTTTTTTTAAAGAAATATCCTTTAATCAAACCTTTCTTGATCGGAAAGAATAGGTTTTCAATTGCAATCAAGAAATGTCGTACACTACTCTTCTAACCTGCTTGGCCCAATTTGTTTTTGTGTTCAATTTCGTGAATATCTTCTTCTAAACCCGCATGTACACAACCCCTTCTGAGATATTCTTTTCAGTTATAAAATGAAAGTAAAATTATTTTTTTTGCATGGACTGCACAAAAAGAGTATCTTTTAAGTACTAAAATTATCTAAATACTATTAATAAAATTTCATTCCAGATTAATTCATTAATAACGTACCCAGCAGAACTGAATTCATCAAATAAAAAGGTATAAAATACAAATAAAAGTGCAATCTAAGATACAAATTATTTGCGCATCTCAACGTCTAGACACAGGATCTCTACTCCGAGTTTCTTATTCATCAAACTATTAATAAAAATACTATATCGGTGCCAGAATAATAAATTTTTTATTTTAAATTTATTTCAAAATAATAATATTTTTTATATATTTTAATAGAGAAAAGTAGCTTTTTCTTATATTAACTTTGTCATTAATTATCTTTTAATTTTAAAGATAATTATTAGTATACCTTCTAATTTAATATATATATTTTTTCCAGTTAAATCATTAAAATATAATATAAATATAATCAATATAATCAATTTTTATATATTGTATTTATAATTGCATTTTTAAGTTTATTTGTTTTTAATTTTATATTAAAAAATAATTTTTTAATAAATATATTTTGCGATGTATTAAATCGAATGGATGTATTAATCAATATCCTAACTTTAATTACTCATTTATCATAAAAAAAGTTTGTTTATTTTTATTTCTCTATTTCTTTTTTTTAAGGATAATATAGCTAAAAACATATATTGTAAAATTTTAATTTAAAGATAAATTAAAGAAATGTATATTATTATGAGAGATAGGGGCTAATATGCTTATACCATTTTTTATTCAAAGAAATAAATAATTTTCTTATACTATGTAATTACTATATATATATATATAGA